AGAGAGAGAGGAAAAGAGATTGAGAGAGAGGGAGAGAGGAAGAGAGAGAGGGGAAAAGAGATTGAGAGAGAGGGAGAGAGAGGAAAAGAGAGAGGGAGAGAGAGGGAGAGGAAAAGAGAGAGGAAGAGAGCGGGAGAGGAAAAGAGAGAGGGGAAAAGAGATTGAGAGAGAGAGGAAAAGAGATTGAGAGAGAGGGAGAGAGGAAGAGAGAGAGGGGAAAAGAGATTGAGAGAGAGGGAGAGAGAGGAAAAGAGAGAGGGAGAGAGAGGGAGAGGAAAAGAGAGAGGAAGAGAGCGGGAGAGGAAAAGAGAGAGGGGAAAAGAGATTGAGAGAGAGAGGAAAAGATTGAGGGAGAGGGAGAGGAAAAGAGAGAGGGGGAAGAGATAGAGGAAAAGGGATTGAAAGAGAGGGGAGAGAGAGAGAAAGAGAACACAAACAAAGAAGAATTACGAAGATATTTACCTTGTGAATTTTTTTTAAAAAAGGGACTCCAGGCTATGGCAGAGAGGCCTATGTTAAACGCGGTTTTCGATTGTGCCAAAGAAAGAAAGATTGAGCGGGAAGGCTGGAAGGAAGAAGAAACAAAGAGGGGAAAAAAGAGCTTTTGGCTCCTGGAAGTAGAGACACAGAAAGAGATCAAGTGAGACGTGTGGAGAAACAGCTTTGGCCGGCCCAGGAGCTCCCATAGGGCAGTCTCTTCAGAGGGGGCACCCTCTAACTCCCTGGGTGTGACCCATTCCACCTGGGCTACCCTTTCCTCCTGCCCCATCGCCTTTTCTCCTAAGCTCCCCAAAGCCCCCTTGCCAAAAAAAAGGGTGCCAGCTTTTCTCCCTTCTCTCCTAACCGCCTTTCTTCTCCAAAGCAACGTGGGCAGCCCCTTCTCTCAATATTCTAGGGTCACCTGGGCCTTTTTATTTCCCCTTTCTCAGTGCCACCTTCTAGGGCAGAGGTGCTGTGGTCCGCTGACGGCCTGCAGAGCTGGCAGCAGATTTGGACAGTGAGGAGGTTGGGGAGGAACATGGGCCAGTCCTGGAGGCTCGGACGAGGGCTCTGCGTCAGAGGCAGAAAGGGGGCCAGGGCCATCTGGGGGTTATGTGCTGCCTCCGGAGCCTCCAGAATCGGAGATCAACAAGGCAGAGGAACAGGGGAGCCTGTTCCCAGTGCGCGCATGCACAGAACTCCCGGAAGGCAAGAATAGTTAAGACAAAAGGGGTGACTCTGGAGTAAGGCTTGGAGATGGTTGGCCCCTCCCATAGGACATAAAAGAGGAGCAAAGGGACGTGAGCATTTGCAGGAAGCAACTTGGTTCATGCTGGTCGGTTTAAATTCTGAAGCTCCGTTTTGACTCTGTGCTCCGTGTGGCCTTGCCAAGCTAATTGCCAATTAGGTCTTTGGCAGCGTTTCCAACGAAGATAAAGGTGGGTGCTTATCAGCCTAATTCTGAAAGACTTTGACAGCCTACTTTAGAACTCTTTACAACTATGTGGGACTAATTATGGGCTGTGAATGAATATAATTCACAGCCTCTGAAATAAAAGGAGGGTTTTTGCACTTAATCGTGTGCCTCTTACTGTATCAGGGAGCCTAGGTCAGAACATTTGGGTTTAAATCCAGCAGAAAAGAGGTGCCAGAGTAGGAACACCCCCTCCCCGGCAGCTTCAACCCCCTCCCCCAGGCATGGAAGATCCCTTTTTTTGGGGGGGGGGCGATGCTTTGAACCACTTCCTCTCTCTCTCTCTCTCTCTCTCTCTCT